GCTGGCTACCTGTGTGCGTAAAAGCATTTTCCCTCCTCTCCCTAAAAAAAAAAAAAAAAAAAAAAAAACAGTGTATTTCATACACAATTTTTGTTTTGCTGAAATATTTATGTTACTTTACAAATAAGAACTGTTAACAGAAGTACTGTGTTTTATCTTAGTATTTTTATTTGAAAGTGGTGGACAGCTTGTACAACGTCAGATGCTTTTTGATGTTTTGAAACTGGACTCAGCTGTCCTGGATCATTGGAATATGAATTACGTTTATGTATACAAAATTTGTTCAGACGGTAAATCCCTCCTTCAATTTACTACTAATAAGAGATTTAATATTCTTTTGATGGAGGTTCTAGTTAAGGAAGATTTTAAAAGCACTGTATTTGGAGTGGTCTTCAATCAATTTTAGATCCATTTTTTACCCGGAGAATAATGTCTTTATTCATTGTCTGGATGGTTTCAAAGGAATCTTTGGTATTTTAAATCATGAAGACAACCGTCGCAAACATATCATAAATACAAACATCAGACAAACTATACAAGAGATAGAGCTTAAGTAGAGTATACAAAGTATAAAATACAATAGGCATAGCACTCTTTGCTACACCTGAATTAATTAATTTGGTCGTTTGTGGAAACTGTGGTAGAAATAAGGAATCTAATGTCATATTTGGGCCATAGCAAATGCAACTGAAAGATTGTCAATGCAGTTACCATTGAAGTAGTTCTCCAAACATGCTATCCTACGATTGCCTCTTTATTCATTGTAGGATCGCAGAAACGAAAATGGTTTTAGTTATAATTTTAGTGCACGTTAATTTTGTATGGATTATACAGCAATAGTGATGTAGTTAGTTTGCTGTTTTGTTAATTATATCATAAATAAATTGCAGGTAATACATTTAAATTTAACTCATACAGACACAACTCTGTGATATAAATATAGTCTGGAACCTCTTGTCAAAATTTTGGATTCATAATAATCAATCAACGACAGTCATTTTGTTTTACATTAAACTTAATTAAAACTGTTTACTGAATGATTTGCAAACAACATTACGTATAGTATACACATGAAAAAGTTTAATATTTATGTTGCTCCATTTATAGACTTTATTTTCAATTATTTTTGTATCAAATAGTTGAGATATTGTTTGTTCCATGTGTAGGCCTAGATAAAAATTAAAATTTTTAAGTTGACGGCATTTTTATAATTTTTAAAAGGGATGCAACGTTTAACTGCTTAAGCGAATCAGGACTTGACTAATCACACAGTTGAGTATGAGAGTACTTTCCATTAGTTCCTTTATAAAAGGAGCTATTAAGCTCTTGAACATTTAGTTTCATAGAAAGGCACTTAGAATTAAACATTGCATTTCTTATGGCCAATTAAAATCAGATAAATTAGACTAATGTTTCTGAATGATAAGTAATTTTGTTACCAGCAGATAGTAATATTTTGTCACAAAATCAACGTTAGTATATCCACTAAGAGGTCCTTTAGCCTGACCAGTAGCTTACACTGATCACTAACTGTTTAAAGGGTCATTAACTGTGAATTAGGGTGGCCTCGCCTTCTCACGTAGAGAGCTAGTGTTGTATGGCCAACTGAACACTTGATCACTGCTTTGTATGTGATTGTGGACGGTTTAAAACGTAATTTAGCGCGGAAGAATGTATTACACAATTTTAATGATTTACCAAATGCATAAGGTGTTTTGTAAATAAGTGCCAAAATTTAGGATCGGTTTGATACAGTCAAATTAATAATACATATTTTCCAAAATGTATTGTTTTTTTTCACCCACTACACATATTCCTAAGATATTCGTACTTACTTTTGAGACACCCTGTACATTAAGTGCAGTTAATGTTGATTTGTAAGTATAAACTGAATGTTTATGAATCCTAGCTCAGTTTGACAACTACGAGTTTTAAAACGAAACTTTAGCGAATATATACATTCATTTGGGGTTTTCACGGAGCAAATAGTTGTGAATTTTTAGGATTTTAAATTCATGACCAGTAATCAAACCTAATGCAACATATTTTAAGAAATCTTTGTACATTTAAATTTAATCATTATTAGTAGGAAAACGCTTTGGGTCAAACATTAAATCATACATTTATGTGTAGCGTAACATTTTTGTGTTTGATATACGCCAGTGATGTTTTAGACACTTTTGTGAGTAAACAGCCAATTCTCTGGTCTTGCTATTATCTAACTCTGATAGGCCAATGCAAAATGGAATCTAGGTGGATTTAAAATACCCTCAGCTATTTCAAAACTGAAAGTGTCTCGAATAACATTATAGCACAGGACCAAGGGGAGTTAAAATCACTAGAATTATTGTCTCAGGCTATGGCAAACTCCTCCACCAATAGTGAAAGTTCCAGGAGAAATTCTCAATTACATCTCTCGCACTGTAATCTGACTGCTTCCTCGATGTGCGACGAATATCAAGAGTGTGATCGGTGATGACGTCAAATAAAAACGTCATTCGCCTTATTAGGCTAAGGCTATGATTTTAATGTGATTTGGGGAGCAAGCTAGGTTAGTAGTAGAGCTCAGGTTCGGTGCCAAAGGTCTTAAGTGCATCCCAACAATTACCAAAGGTCTTATGCTTGTGAAAATTCCAAACCCTTTTCATATAATCTGTTTGTAAAACAGTTCCCAGCTGAAAAATGGCACCCAAAGTGTAAATTAAGTCTATGAGTAGTTGATTTGTCTACATTCATATTCCATATTTAAATTTTAAAGTAAAAACATACATTTTCCCATCCTCAGACCAAACCTATCCAACGTTTATTAATAAGTATAATAAATAAATGTACATTAATTTGATATTATTTATTACATTGAAAAAAGTTTTAGGCCAAGGCCTTATATAGACGATTTTTTGTTAGAATTGTGAGACTTTGTAAATACAGGTTCAAAAAAGGAACACTTCGGTACTTATAATTTAATATTTTTTTATATTACGAAAAAATCATCAAATCAGTTTATGGACTTAAAGGAAGTAATATTCATACAATGATAGTGACCGTGAACACGGGTATTTATAAGTTCGACCCAACACTATTAGATATTAAATGTCAAGATATAATCAATCTCAAAGACGGTTGTTAAATGTCAGGAGTCCATGGTGTGGGGTAATTCATTGCTGGTGATGACCTATCTAAAGTTACTACGTCACAGGGTAGGTGCAAAGTTTGGGAGTTCAATGAGAAATTAATTGTATAGGTACATAATTTTTACTCCCCCCCCCCCATACAAGTATGAGAAAGTATTCTTTTCGTAAAATGTACGAGATTGAGTTATTGGTGGAAATATTCGTTTTAGGTCCACCTTAGCCCCCAAAATTGGTTTTTAAGTGATTGTCTGTTTGTGTAAATTCAAAGGGTTTATTTTAATTTTTCAAAATTTGGATATTTAATTGGGGTAATGCCTAACAACCCATAAAATAGTGGACAAATTTGACTTTTACATAACGTGTCGAAAGATTTTGGTTACAATTTAAGCCATAGTCCTTTTAACAGTTGATCTTTCTTAAACTTCTTGATGCCAGTACCATGCCAACAACGGACAACAAAACCATAGAAAGGTGAGTCGGTCTTTCGGAGAAAGACGAAAGAGTACTGATTTGTAGAAATCACAGTTTATTCTTTTAATTCACTGCTTCACTAAATGATACAGCTCAGAGTTCAGTGGTCAATGGTCTAAATTTACCTAAAACCAAACTATTTAACAATACCAGAGTTGTCAGTGGGTTTAAGTCTCTCAAGAGCTCTATACAATACCCAATTTTTGGTTCAAAGGTTATTAGAATTTTTATGATTTTTCCTATAAATATAATTGTTACTCCCAACCCTTACCATAAGGGTTTTGGAAGACAAGCTAATGGAAGAAAGTATGTCAAATTGCTGATAAAGTTTAACCTCTTTTACTATCTACTAGCTAATTTACATCAAAGTTGATGTCATGAGTGGACTTAGTAGTTATGTTAGGGATGGGTACGCAAAAAAAATCATTAGCTTTTTGAGAATGTTATTACAAATTGTAAGAACCCCTGAGAACCCCTCACAATTCGAGGCGAATTTCCAGGCTCGGTTTTCTAAGCGCCCTCAAGGGGGTAGTTAGGTTGATAACTGCTTTTATTGGAACTCTTCCTAAGATATCTTCCCATTCTACATTTTATAAATCGTCTATATTGTTATTGCTTCAAATAAATACTCAAAATATAACTCCTTGGGGTTTTCACAGCGTTTGTTTGTGTTTTGGTTTGTTTACCATTGTTGTCTGATTGTGTGATTAATTTTGAATACGTTTTTCTAACAAACTCAAACCAACGTAAGATTAACGATGCACACACAAGGAAAGCAATAAGTGTTGTACTGTCAATCTTAACGTTTATAAGACCTTAGTCTATTTAATACTGGAATCTCACCTAAAACATCATTGCATACATTTCTTAGCAAAACACAGTCTTCTGTTGAAAATATAAGTGTTTTTTACATTAAGAAGATATTACTCGTCAATTCGTACTTTTACAAAACATACTCTTTCAGCTTGTGGAACCCTATGTTAAGTCTTATTAACAATAAATTCGTTTAAGTTGCTTTAATAAAACACCTTGATAACATGTTACAAAAACTTTAACTTCATACTTGTAGCAGATCTAACGATTATTTTAAATAAACGCATATGATTATGCTGTGAGAATAGTTCACAGAATTCAACCAAACCAAAATAAATCTCGTCTTGATTTGTAGAAATTGTTATCTAAAGTAACACTGCATCTTCCATCGACATGAACGTGTCTAAGTGATTTAACTCTGCTCGGAGATTTATGCGATTGCAATCTCTCTTGTTAGGTTTAAGAGTTTACTCAAACAGAATTCAAACGAGTATCAAACGAAAAATGACAAGTGGAATACTCAACAGAATATACATTAGTAAAATGTTTATTGGTCATAGAAAGTGTTGCGAGGGAAAAAACAAGTTTCAAGTTTTAAACTTTTTATTGTATTTAGTTTCTTTTATAAAAAATGACATATAATACACTTACATACAATTAAACCTACGCTAATGAATGTTATATACAAGATGAAATAAGGAAACGTTTAAACTATTTATTATGGATTGAGCGGAGTTACTATTGTAACTATGATTCCTTAGGTGAAATGGTTTAACTATTTATACAACATTTAATTATCTAAATTGTAATCCAAAGTGAGATTTTTAAACGGTTTTTTGATTCTCATGACAATAATTTATCGATACTTAAACCTAGGTGATGCTTCTTACACTAAGCACCGGTTGGCGATGATACTGGGTTTGGCGAGCACTGCACTTTCTCACTTTCTTCTTCTTTCTCTCAACTCATTAAGTCCCAAAATGTTTATCATAATATCACAAATATCATTGACGGCTTCACATGGTAACATATTAGTTTCAGTACCTTACAACCGAAGTGTTAAAAGAATCTAAGATATATACATAATTTACAGTACTTGGATGAACACTTTCCAAATAATTAGGTAATTCACTTTTAGGGACGATCAAATTTAGGTATATTAACTCAAATTTAAAGGAATTGGATTCAGTCTCTTAACTTAAGTTCTTTACCCACTTTTTCCACTTGTGAGCAATTGCGATTATTTGTATAGAACTATGTGAAGCTCGACCCCTAAACGCATATTAAAACTCGAGGGTTAACTCTTTGTCATTCACAGAAAGATTATTAAAGTTATTATGATGAAGTTAGCTATCAATGCTGGAAGATATTCTTTCTGAGACTGAAAGATTAGACTTAAAACTTACAATCATAAATTACGCTCGAGTCTAATTCGTTTCGGGGCGTTCTGTGCTAATAATCGCATGAGCAACCTCAAGGTAACATTAAAAGTCTTTACTACTTCTTTGGAACTCAACCGACGTACTGGAAGGGATTGTATGGCGCAGGGAAGTACCCAGGGAAAGCTGTCGGCTGAAGAGGAACAGACGCTGTCAGATAGGTAGTCAGCTGTGTTGGAACTACCCGCGTGGAGAAGAGTGTCGTGTAGGCAGTTTTGGCACCAAAAGTCAACTTGAGGATCTTGCTGTCTGTCTCAGTCACGACAGTTTGAGTGACCACTGGGGTGGAGCTGATAGCAAACTGAGGCTGCAGAGGAAGCTGTTGCTGAGGAAGCAGAGGATTTAGTTGAGGCTGAGGTGGCAGCAGAGGATTTAGCTGAGGTTGTTGAGGCATTGCTAAAGTACTCGTTACAACCTCGTATTCCGTCTTGCTAACTGTTGCGATCGGCCTTGAAAGCGTGCTGAAGATGGTGGTTTGTCCGTTGAACAAAGGAATTACATGACTTTCATAAACAGTTTCCAACTTTATGACCGGTTTAGATTGTGTGATTACGTTAGGAATGTTGGCGTTAGGGTTGAGGAATCTGAGAAGAGCCAATTGTTGGATCTGTTCCGGAGAGAGCGCCGGAGTCGTAGGTTCTGCAGGAGGTTGTGGCGTAGTGTGGTGTGCTTTCTTCAGCCTCAAGTGATCGGGGAATTTTGACTTGTCAACGTCAGAAAGGTCGAAATCAGACCCCACATTAGCGAGATCCAAATCAGGTGGGAAAGCTCTAGCAGCGTTGGGATGATCGTCGTCGTCTTGTTCGTTGTTGTCTCCGAACTCCAACTCTAGATGAAGTTCAGACCCAGCTTCGTCTAGTCTGGTGTTGAACTCGTTCAAGGTTTTGCTGGGAACAAACTGGTACACTTCCATCGGCGGGAGTGTTTTCGTAGCTGTCACTATCCTCGTGATGTGGTAGGATTGAACCAGAGTGTAGCTGCTGGTGTTCATTCCGCCGTATACCACGGGAAGGATGTGAGTCTTCAGAAGCAACTGGGTTGTACTGAATGTTTCCGTCATCGTTTCCAAAGGAGGAGTCTCAGCGTCACCGGCCAGCCCGATGGGAGGGAGAGTAGCAATAGACGAGTCCAGAGGCGGCTCTTTGTTGTCGTAGATGTGTTGAGTGCTGGCAAGAATGTTCTCTGTCAGTGGCTCTGAAGGGTTTATCGCGGGAGCTTCTGTTGGTTCGACCAGGCTCTTCTCGATGGTTGAGGTAACTGTGATGTACCTGGTGTTCTTAACGGAGCCAACCTACGGACAAAAAAAAATGTTAAACGTTAACTCATAGATTTCCAGAAGATATCTGTAAGCAAAGATGCCAATGTAACAGAATAACTAGAAAGTTAAATTGACATCTTTCCTCGACAAACAACCTACATTCTCGTAACCATGCAAGCAAAATGAATCTTTTGGAACATAGTAAAAAAACTGATATTCGTTCATGGATGCAATAATCGTCACTTCATTCTCAGGATACTTAAATACAGATTGACATGTCTCTGTCTTGTCTGAATAAACTAACAAATGTTTTAACTAACTGGTTACAACCGAAACCCAACAACATATCAACAAATTATTGCAAAGTGTGGTTTATGATGTTACAAATATCACCAGCTCACCTGGAAGGTGTAGGGAGACTTGATAGTGGCAATCTCGTAGTAAGTGTTTCTAAACTCTGCTGGAGTAGATATTTCCACCTTGATTGTCTCCAGAGGCAGCGTTGACTCTGTAGGTTGTACAAGGTTGTTGTCTAGATCCCTGCTGTCTGTCACGTCACTGCCTTGCTGTTCCTGGTCATCAGGTTTGGTCTCCTGTCCCACGGTGGTGTTGTCCGCTCCCTCGTCTTGGCGTCTGATGGCCACCCTGGGCTTGGGGGTTGTCTTGTATTGCCAGCTGGAGAAAAACATTGAAATTACTAACGGAAATCCACACATTTTGTAAATGGACGTATAAAAATGTAACGGTCGACGTAGAAATATAAATGTTTTGTGACAGGATAGTTTAGAAAAAACGTCTATAGTATGCTTATGAAAAATAATATGCTGTAAACTGGTCGAAATAATTCTGAATGAAGAATTTCAAGATAATGTCCTGAATAGCTATGTAGGTTAGCAGGTCAGGGACTATAGGGTATGGATACTAAAAGTAGAATTCTCCTCCCATTGTAGGCTTCCTACTCTCAATGGCTGATAAAAACTTAACTCTTCAGTGACTTAGATGTGTGGTGAGATCTTTCAAACAATCATCATATTTTAAACTAGTTTGAGAATACCTCACTTAATATACATCGAGAACACACGCATCTATCTTGGTTATCGTTACCTTTGGTTAAGTATCAGTTTATAACTTTAAAGGTTTCAGGCAAGATACCTGATTATGGCAATTCCCTAACTCCATATTCATACCAATGACTATTCTATTCATGTTTACACTACTTTAAATGGTTTTGAAGATTAACATTACATCAAAAAGGGTCAATTTGTAACATAGTTTATTACCGTCCAGTGGGTCGGGCGAGTTTGAACTTGTAGAGGCTGGTAGACTGGTCCTGAGATGGAGAAGATTTGGTAGGTTTGAAGCTGCGGCGAGAATCTCTGTCTTTCTCTTTGTCTACGGAATTGTCTCCTTTGGCAGGTCTGAAACCACTTCTTCTATTGGACGACTGGAACTTGCGGCTGGGCGTGGAAGGTTCGTTGTATACTGAGACGGTGGCCAACTCTGGCTGTGAGGGGCGAGCGAACCTGTTGTTCCTGGGACATAACAGATGATTATGTTGGAGGAGATACAATACTGAGAGGGGAGAAAGGAGAGTGAGCTAAAATCAAAATGAAACTATTTTATGGAGAATTCTGCGTCAGTCTATAGCATGGGTTACATGTAGAGGTGCATTGCGGTGTTAAACCATAAGGGTTGTGGATATGCCGGGAATCAAGCCAATCCCTCGCTCACCAAAATCCGAGACACTAACCACTAGGCTAGCAACTCCCTCAACAATGGAATCTTTACCTTCCTAAATCCTTAGAAATCATTTTACAACTTCCCCGCAGTTTAATGCCACTCTCGGAAATGGTACACTGTTCGCTAGTGCACTCTTCATCCTTCTTCTTCCATAACTGTATTTATAAAGTAATAACAAAAGAATCAAGCAACAAAAGATCGCAAGTTTTTTCAATGTTTACCAAACTTGTGACTGTAGATATTGAAGTAGACGACCCAAAATAATCACTAGTTTTGTTGTATTTTCGTAACTTTAAACATTTTAAGAACGTTTCACTAACTTCGAAAATTCTAATTGTATTGTGAGACATATGAAAAACACACATAAATAGAAAAATTAACATATTTTGAAAGCGAAATTTTCCTTCCTTCATCGGATATGTTTCGTCACTCAATATTACTGTCCTTTTTGTAACTTCACGTAATTTGTTTACGTGAAATCGCCCAAGTAAAAATTGGATGTCTACTCAAAATTCCGCAATCACGTTTTGAGATACAACTAAGTCTCTTACTCTTGTACGTCAGCCAAGCCATACTTGTAAGCTCTCTGTTGTTGTTGCTGCTGCTGCTGCTGTTGTTGTTGTTGTTGTCTGTCTCGGTTGCGGTTCTTCTTGTAGCTCGGTTGTTGTTGCGTCACTTCCTCCACAGGCTCTTCCAGCTCCTGCTCCTCCCTCCCCTTGGACCGACCTTGGTATCTGTTCTTGAAGGGCAGAGCCCCGACGGCAGGCCTCCTGGAGGTGCGGATCAGATTGCCTCCGCTCGGAGAGTTGAAGAGCGCCTCCAGAGGGAGGGCGGAGTCCTCCTGCAGAGTGCTGACAGGGGTTGGCTCTAGGCTGGGGCGACCTGCCTTCAAGGAGGGAGCGGCTGTCTTGAGGATTTTGTTGGACTGTACAGGGGTCGGCTTAGGTTTCTTCTGTAATTTGAAATTCATTCATCAAAATTCATTTTATCTACCAATCGGCTAAAACCAATAAAAAAGAGTGAGAATTTGTTAAACCATCATTAGAAAATTTGGAATTATTGGTAATGAAGGATATATTTTATTTGAACAAAGTGTTATTTTTTCATAGCACATTTGAAAAATTGCTGATAAATATCTTAAATAGCTTGCTTATTAACCCAGGATAATTTGCAAAAAGATTTGGAAAAACGGAGTCATTATGCTGTTAAAAAATAGAATTTTGAATTTTACCTAGTTACCTAAAATAGTAATTTTACTAATAAAAGACTTTTATAATATTCTATTTTCAACATAACCAGAAAAGGGTTTAAGTATTTTTCAATACGAGTATTATGTCACTTCGGTTAATGTTTAGTAAGAAAAAAAACTTATATTCCAAGAATAATTTAGGACCTGTTAATCTTAAAATTTTATAAAAATCTAACAAAAATCAATGAACAGAATTAAAGGGTCACACTCAGTCAAGTTTATCTGTTAGGTTGGTAATAAAAGAACTAACCAAAGGATACAATTAAGGATACTGGAAACAAACACAGTAGTTAATCATAGATGTTTTATTTTATTGAGTCATAAAAACCTACCCTAGATCTATTGTCCTCACAAGAGCAGTTTAATCTTTCTTTCACCCATTAACTTTGCAGACCGTATTTATGGCCTTACAATAACACTTATAGCCTGTAAAGCATTTCACAAGAATGTGCAATAAATAACTTTTATACTTCAGTAGTTGCTGTGCTCATTAAACACATTTATCAGGGATTGTCAATTACAATATTAGCTCGAAACACTAGCAAATAGTCCTATTACGTTCCTTTAAGACAACCAACACTTTATACAAGTTTTAAAATGTATTCTCCTATCAAAAAAATCAAAATTGTATAATAATTGTAGGATAAAACCTTGTTCTAAAAAAAAGTAAAAAATAAATCGTTGACTGAAGTAATATACTGTATTTTCACAGCTAAGAGGAGGAGGAAATAAATCAAGAGAAGGGAGTCACCAATATCAACGGCATTGGAAGCCACTAAGAGAGACGACCTTGTCTAAAAATGTCCTGGAAGTAAGCAGTACCTGAAAGTAACAGTTACTAATAACCGTTACGCAAGAGTAACTGTTACACTAACCTGTGACTGGTACACATGGGAGGTGCTCTGCAGCACTTGAGCGTATTTCCCAGAGATGTAAGTTCCAAGTACGCTGGTCTCGTGCACGGTAGTTAGACCGTCCCTGACAACCGTTCCTCCCATGCTGGTTACCAGACCTGTAGGATGGACGTCGGCTGGTGTGGATTTGCTGGGTCGTGGCTTGGCGTTCTTGTTACCGTGCTTCACCGTTGGTCGCAAATCTATCACCTGAAAAATCGAAAGAAATATGGTACAGGGTTTAAATAGTCCATCAATGTGCTTCTTGTACAACTAGAATGGCGTTCTTGTAAAATTTTGTCGTCGATTTAGAATTCGACCAAATTACGCTGGGAAGAAAAGGTTCTAAGTTGACACATGGTGGTAAATTCTATCCAACGCTTTGGAAACATTTGAGATATCTTTGGATAGCAAATATTTTTTCTGAATGTTTTGTCATCTAATCACAAACATAAAATATTTAATTTATTTTACTTCACATCTATCCCCTGTCATTGTTTGGTAAGTAAATATATTGAGTTCAATACGGAGAAGATTTAGATTACAATGATAACCAAACCCAGATATAACCAAGATTTTTTTATAATAAAAAAGTACTTTTGTAAAAGCGTCCAGCAAATATGTGGTTTCAAATGAATACATAAACAGTTCATCTTATGTTCAACAAAACTCTCATTTATCTCTACGTAATTATACCTTGGCATAGTTGCATTTCTCACCCTGTATGTTTCATCCACAACTTCTGACGGTTGCCTAGATAGGAAGTCATACTCTGCAGGACCATCCACATTGTTTCCACTGATAGCTGGCTCGTCAGAACTCGACACAACTTCCACCTTGGAGCTCAGGATGGATACAGGTTTAGGCACCCCGGGACCTTTGACCTCAACTATGCTGGACGGCTCAACTTTGACCTCTACAACACTAGAGGGTGCGACCTTGACCTCGACCTTGCTGGAAATGACGTCACCTTCTCTGACCTCCACCTTGCTAGAGATTTCCGGAGTTTTCTCTTGAGGACCCCCTCTAACTTCCACGATGCTGGAAAATACCACAGTCGATGGAGGGCTAACTTTGACCTCTACTAAGGATTTTTTCACGGGTTCCTTTTCTTTTTCCATGATCGCTTTCTTCTCGAAAGTCTTCGGAGGAGCTTCGGTTTTGCTCGGTTTGATCTCCGCTGGTGGATTCGTCGTGGGAGGTTTCGTTTCGATTACTGTCGTTGTGGTTTCTGGCTTCGGGGTGGTTTTACCCCCATCTGGAAAAATTTTGTTATCAATTGTGGGACTAAGTGTTCAAAAACATGCTTTCTCAAATCCAATGGGTTTATCAAAATTCACCCGAATACTTGTAATTTTATTACATGCATCTTTAATTATGTAACACTAAATAATTGGTGTAAATACCTGCATTGATGTGATCAATGTGTTGCTAAATTGCAACACATTGATACACTTCGTTTTTAACCCTCAATATTCATGTACGTGTTAAATGTATTTATTGATTATGAATTGACGACCTTCGAATGAAGCAAGAAGACATCTGTACTGGCCCGACGATGACTCCTTTGTTATTCGAAACCGGTTGCAATTTAGCAACACATTGATTACATAAATGCAGGTACACGATTATTTAGTATTTAAATGTGATCAGGAGGCTAAAATTCAATATAATTTAATTTTTTTAACAGCTTTGAAGTCACAATTGATACACTCATAGTTTTTTAATTCGTTGGTCAAATTAAAAAGTGTCTATAGATTCTTTAAATACTTGAAAATACAATTAAAACTCCAATAAATTTTCTTTAAGGCTTAACCTGACCCACTGAAGGATTGGGCATCTGTACAAATATTCCTCTTAAGTAAGAATATCTCTAACAGTTGAAGGTTTTTATGAAAACACATTTTATTAAGTGCGCAAAGATATATTCTAGTACTTAAGAACTATTAAAATAATCCAGCATTATAATACTTGCAATACTGTTCGCATTTAAAGTTTAAATAGAATACCTAGACAGTTCTAATTTCTTAAGTTATACATCAAGTGACTATTACACCGTGGTATAATCCTCAAGTACCTTGTTGTAGCAGTTGTTCCTAATCCTCAAACTCGCTCCATAACTGCTCTTGTAACAGCTACAGCTGCTTACTTACAAAGTAGTTTGGCTAAAACTTTGGAGTCAACTTGAGACTGTACTGAATTTGAGCTTTTAGTTTTGTACGGATTCGGTGTGAAATAAAATCAATCAAGTTATGAACCTTGTGGTTGAAAATATTTTTCGTGAAAAGGAAATAAAATTATATTTTACAACTAGGCTAATCCCGAAATGGGACTTTTGTGAGTAGGAAACGATCATTTTCATCCCGATGCAAACAATAACACAAGTTTCTTAATTATAATTATTATTGAAAGAACAATTTAACACTATTCCAAGGTCTAGTGAACTTTCTTTCAAGTTTTCATATAGTTTTACAATTTATTTAAAAGTTAGCTATCAGCCACTTTCTGTGATAAAATAATACATCTATAATATCTACAAAAATAATACATACAATAGCACTCCTATTAAGCTGAACAGAACCTTCATTTGTATGAAAATGGAAAAGTTTGTTTGGGTCAGGAAAAGTAATGTTTAACAGCCAAAATCATATGTTTCAATATGGAAAACAACAGTATTGCACAGCTATACGGATATGAGGTATTTTCGTTTGAGAATTAAGATGCTGTATACAATTAGCACAACCAAGTTGTTGATGGAAAATTCGAGACGAAAAATACATAACATTAGTTAAACAGTGTGTTAATTATGTAGAATACAGGAATTTTTCCTTTAATTTCCTCTTAACAATTTTATCTACTCCTACTCTCCCATTAATGCCACCCTCGTTCCTGACCAAACATGCCAACTATTATTTTGGCTGAATATAAACGAAGTGATTGTGTAACAATTAGCTGGATGAATATGTATCAGTGGGCGTGCCCCGACCGCGATCAGTTTCTTCAGTGCCTACCTCCGTTAGCAACAAGCAACCTACGGGGGCGACAGGGTCACGGCCGGCGCAGGCGACTCTCGACCTTCATTTGCATTTCTAAACATGGACATACCGCCCATATTCGCGTGTGGCAGTTGTTGTGTTTCTTGATGCTCTCGACAGTATAAAGATATACCGACAATGTGTTCTTTGATATGTCCAGCAATATGTTACAAGGAATCGGTCAAGTTTTTAGCACAGGTAAAAGTGAAGGTTGTGTGATAGAAGGGCATCGTTTAATAGTAGTGAAATGTTCGTCTTATTCGTTATAAAGTGAAGTTCACTGTCAAAAGCGTAACTTTTATGGGAGAAAGGAGGTAGTCGAGTAATAGTTACACATCTAGAGCCGTTAAAAAGTTACACATTTTCTAACACTGCTATCATAAACCCACCCTTACCAATATGGTCCTTCGAGCCGGATGGTTTTAACTTAAAATTGTAAAAAAAAAAAAATTTCAAAGTACAATATAGTACGAATTATTTTAGCAGTACACTAATCTTAACATAGGTTCAACAAGGACATTATACTTTTTTCGCTATGTTAGGACTAAAATGATATCAATACTTTAAGCCAATATTTAGAATACGAGGTTTTAGTTGACAAGCTTTCCTATTTAAAATCTTCGGGTTGCGTAAAGGGAGTGAAATTCAAAAGCGCTATGAGTATTATGTTTATTTTGTGTATTGCATACTGGACTACATTGCAGTTCATTTCAATTTCAATTTTTATGTTCAGAAGTATTTAGTTTTACCTTCATTGTTACCTATAGACTTGTTCAGGTCAAGGTAGCTAACGTAAGCACAACAATCAAGATTTTGTGTAGTGCGATATCTTTTTATTATTTCAGATACTACCTGCAGGAGCGCTCTGCGGCGAGAAGACCATGACGGTGTTGCCGATAGTGGTGGTGAAGTCAAGGAATCCATAGACAGTCTGGGTCAGTAGAGCCTCAGGGGCAGCGCTGGGAGCCACAGGGGCGGAGTCCTGCTGGGGACTGATGTACACAGGGCCTCCGCTGGGGTTGTAGACGGCGGAGAGGGTCGGTGACCAGCCTGGAGACAGGAGGTGATGAATTACAGAATCACAAGGTTTAGATAATGGAAAACCTTAACCTACAGAATTGGGGAAATTATTGTGCATTTGTCAGTACATAGTATGGTAGAGACTTACTGTGACAATAGTTATAAGATTGTGAATGTGATTAGATGTGATAATTACAAGGGTTATGAGATAGTGAATCACGCGGTTTTTGATGAAGGTAGCTTCATGATCATTGGCTTTTGTACACTTTAGTGTCTATATTAGTAAACATTACATCTATATGGACCATTTGGCTAATTTCTTTTGTAATAAATCATTGTTGGAAGGACCACTCAAAGAGTGTAGTACAGTCCAAGATTATAATATTTCTCTTACGTTTATATTATGATAGTTTCAAGGGAAATCAACACATGCTATAGCTTACAATAATTCGTTATGTCAGTTTAAAATTGATTAAATGATAGGCTCTTTTTCTAAATTCAAAAATTAAAATCTATGTACTCTGAAAATAGCTCAATTCAACCCCGTAAATTTGTTTAACTAAAACACCGACATTTTAAAATCGGGATGTAATGTATAGTTTCATCAATAGTAAACGGTAAGATTGCATTTAGCCTATTCATTGAACTTACCTAAGTTGATGCTAGATTATTTCTTTATGCAACCTGATTATGCAGCAGTAAACACAACAATTATACACTAAGAGATTTAAAACTTGAATAGGCCTACTTAAAATTGGCTTTAGAATTTATTTGCTTACTTAATAACTAAGCAGTTGTTATATAGTTTCAGCTTGAAGTTCGTGACAATTAAAAATATAGTCCGTATTTTTTTCCATCTTACAATTTATTCCAACTTCACATTAGTGATCAGTTTTAGAACAAAATTTAAATCAGCACTGGAAGAGTTCACTTGTGTAACTTTCTGAGTTCTGTTTAATACGTATTCCTTTTAAACAGGCAAAACTAAATTGTTAACTCATTGTACACCCCAACATTTTATAGATTGAATTTTAATTACAGCAAAATCTGTAAGTTCATCATTCAACTTTTAGAAGAAATATGCTAAATCTGGTCCATATTGATTAAATGTCTTCAATGGTATCTGGATGACAATGCTATAACTTTGTAGGATATAGGAAAATTAATGGTACTAATATATTTTATTTTACTAAAACTGAAAATTCATACACATGATATACATTTAAGGCTACCGCAGAGCTAATACATGATCAAATTCGTTTCAAAAATCATAACTCAAACATAACATATCAATATTTTATAGATATTTTATATTTTATAGATTGAATTTTATAGAAGTTCATCATTCAACTTTAAGAAGAAATATGCTAAATCTGATCCATATTGATGAAATGTCTTCAATTGTATCTGGATGACAATGCTATAACTTTGTGGATATAGGAACATTATAGTACTAATATATTTTATTTTACTAGGACTGAAAATTCATACACATGTTATATGTCTAAGACTACCACAGAGCTAATAAATGATCAAATTCGTTTCAAAAACTCATAACTCAAACATAGCATATCAATATTTACACCAATTGGCAGTGAAATAAATACCATCATTAAGTATAACAAGCGTGAAGTTGTTATCAGACGAAACCTGTTATTGTGTGCAACGTTCCGTGCAAATATACCAGCTGCACACGACTAATCAACAAGTGTAATTATTCCATGTGTAACTTGGTTGGTTAATAATTTAATAGTGACATTTTTATAGTATTTTACAATTTTAGTGTCGTTTTTTCCTAGTAATTGTTCAATTTGTGTGATCATATTGATTCATTTGGTGCTTAAAAATATCATTAAATTAATTTTCTAGTACAAAGTTTTTCTTATAACGACATATAAATAGTTCAAATGTATCTACATCTTACAACGTAGCTTATTACTATGAGATCTTCTTTAAGCAAATTTGAGGAAAATAATTATCACCGTAGGTCTCATGGTATAACGTATGAAAATCCAATCAGACAAATGGAAATTCACTTAGTCTGCAATTTTTTTTTCTGTCAGGGGTATTGGTATTTTTCCCCCATAAGACGTTAGTGATCCATTGGTGATTTGGCGGGACGTTTTTGAACCGAAGTCCCGCGCTCTAACCACTAGACCAGCTCGCATTTACTGACCTTGTTAATCAAATATGGAAATATATCAATGTTCCTTGGTATTTCTAGAATTATTTTAAAGGTTTATAGAGTGAAACTTTGAAGTAATTGTACAAAAACGCATCATAAAAATCACCACGGACTATAATAGCCTAACGTGTACACTGAATTTGAAGTGAAAACTCCCTTTCAAAGACATATCATGACATTTTATTCAAAAACATTTTCGACATCACATGAACAAATAAAAGCAAAACTCGTCTCTGTTTTAGTAAACACTCCGTCAAATACGGTTTTAATAAATTTTATGTTTACTCTAAAATCTCCAAGATCTGTATAAGAAACTTGGCAGTCGACGTTTGCCCCGGAGTTTACGTCTACATTTCATCATCTCAGCTCTCTTCTTTACGACGAATAAAGCAAAGCTTCAGTCATTTTACAACCGTTTTACGTTGTATTTAGAGTCAAATTGTGTTTACTTGTTTATTGACTTTTGTAGTTACATTCGCCAAATCGTTGGGTTAAGATTATTTGAGTGATCGTGTCTATTTCTTCCGTATGTAATTAAATTTAAAACTTCTAAATGTTAGAAACTCTTTAAATAGGAAGCTGAACTTTTTGCTGTAAATTGTCATTATTCAATTATACATATGATTAGTGCATTTTTCTTCACTGAATTATAGTTTTAATTAATTACAGCTTCGGTAATTGCTGTTGCCTGTTATTCATTGCGTGTTAATTTGTTTGTCTTAAGAATGGTTATTCCTGTTATGGCAAGCTTACATTACTTTATTCTAATACCATTTTTTGTTGGCTTAAATTATGGAATATGTTAACTCAGTGTTATTGAAGATAAAGGTCATATCGGATTTGAATAGTATTTGTAAAAATGAACCTCTTCATTTGATACCCTGTATATGACTGTCTAAAAGGTACTGAAAGTTTATGAAAAAATATACTAATACGGGTTACAAATATGTATCTCAATTAAAATGTAGTAAAACCTTGGTTAAACTTAACTAAATGTAACCGTTCCAAAATTCAAATCCCCATTCAAAATTTCTACTGTGAAAGTCTTCACTTTCTCACTACAACACTCCATTGTCTTGAACTGTTTTAACACTGTTGATTGCACTTCATTGTCGACTTATCAGCTGATCTAGTGAGAGTTTTCCCGCGTTTGTGTTGTTTGTGGAGGGAATGCACATGACATGAATGGACCGCGCAGTAACCAGTTCCAGCAGACCGCTAGTCCAGGGTGAACGCCCTAACCGGTTTTCTGGTTTAAGGTCACCCGATCCAGATCCACTCTTACTTTCGCGTTAGCATTGACACTGGCATTTCACTTTCCCTGTAATTATAAACAGTTACCGTCTAATAACACCGTGTTTATGAGTTTAGCTTCCTTCCTAAACCTATTAAAATTTTCAAAGTTGTGCAACTCGTTGGGTAAGTGTTGCGTTAAGTTATTGTTGTGAGTCAGGTGTTCGTGTTTCGCATAGTTTTTTGATTGACTTAATATTCTTAATTAATAATAGACACGGTTTTTTCTATTTTGCGGCAAAAACCTAACAAAACACAAATAATAATTACAGCAAGTAAAACTATTTCAATATTCTTATTTACAAACTCTCTTAAATATGGATTGTTTGGACAACTTCGAAACCCGATCAAGTAAACAATTTTTAATTTCCTTTGATTTACTGTTATAAATATATCGTAAACAGTCCTCTGTTACACAATTATATACCCAAGGGAAAGTGCTCGTATTAAAAATTGTTTATAGTTACAACTATAAATAATTTACATTTTTATTTTTTGTCTAATCCTCGAACTGCGTGATTTTGATCGTATGTTTAATAAAGGTGTCAAATAAAATTGTCTCATTCGTTTCGCTTGGCTTTAAGTATTTTTCCCCGAAAGTTCCCCATTCATTTGCTAATAATATTTTGTTTTGATCTAGGTATCTTTCCTGAATAAAACTCAAGAACACACAGGTGACCGAACTCTAGTGTCCCCGGTAAGAGCAGTTTTTTAACTGAAGGTATTTCGTTTGCACAAGCTACAAGAAACAGTTATGAGGGCTCTGATTCAAGAAAGCAAGTCCGTAATAATGAAGTCCCAGAACAAGAAGCAGGTTTTTCATTCATAATTCAAGATGCGTTTGCTCGCTTCGAAAGTGTACTATCCAAGCAAGCAGAGCAGATTAATACACTTCTTAACTTGATAAAGTACACAATTTTAAATTTCCTCTGATTAGATGTTATAAATATATGGTGAACTGTACTCTGTCACACAATTATATACTTTAGGGGAAAGTGCTGCTATTACTAATTGTTTATAATAACAAATATAAATAATTTACATATTATTTTATCACAAGTGAAAAGCATGTTGACATTTCTTTATGAATAAAGATTCAATTACTCCATTCATTTAAGTTATGAACAAACATTGTTTTAAAATTTTTACTTCATAGTGTTATAAGTTGTTTAACGTCTATAGAATAAAATAAATATAGCGATATTTCTTAAATTCCATAAAAAAGAAATTATTGACATTATTAATACGAATTTAGTACGGTAGGTAGTCTGTTAGTACCGTATAAGCATATTGCCGTGACAAAAAGCCCAAAGAAACTGCATTAAAGGAAATAATCAATTATTTTCTTTGCAAGATAATACTTTAGTGTGCTTCTCTCTAACAACACAAAAAAATTATTACAACAAATAAAAAAAAACATTGTATTAATTTATATTTTTATAACTGCGAAGTAACATGATAAACTGTAAACAACGTAACGAAATGAGGATTTGAATTTTACAGCGATTATTTATTACGTAATCTTAAACGAGAAATTATCGATATAAATATAGATCAACGTAGAAAACTATATGAAAATTATTATCTATTACTTTATTAATACTTAATAACGGTTCCTTACAACCAGTTACCAACCCTGTTACATTTCATCAAGTAACAGTTGGGTGTTTGCAACTATTAAATATGGGTCAGTAGAATAAAGTTAGGAGGGGCTCCTAACAGGTGTCTTGCGGTTATTAATTTTGCAATGCAGCACTTTGCACTTGGCGAGAAAACTGCGTTTACAAATTTACTACTCAATTAATAACGGGGTTAATGATAATGCATTGTCATTTATAATTGAAATGTCAAGATAAACTTGGTAAAGATATTGTAGCTGTTGCAGAATTTAGTCACTTATTCATTATACAGTATAAGTAACAGTTTGAAGCAGTTCAGTAGTTTTTTATTTTATTTTAATGAATTAATGTAATTTGCAAAGTAATATAACAGTACCATTTAAAGTACATAAACATCGTTTATATCTGTACTAGTATATTTCGTACCTAGGGCCGAAAATTAGGTTTTGCCGGCTCGAGATCGTTTTTAAGTTCTAGACGAAGTCGAGATGTATTTATATTACCCCTAAGTAAAATTGTTACATTTCTGTTAACCTTAACGTAAAATTGAAGAACTCATTATGTTCTAGGCATGTAATTCACCAAGTTTTGTTATCCTGTAACCTTTTTTATACTTTCAAATTTAATTTCTCGATAAAAACTGCACATATTACTATTTAATTGTATTGGTAATATTCGTAGTTACACTTCTAAATATTGAACGATTTGTCTCTACAAACACAAAGGTTTTTCTAGCATAAAAGCATACAAGGCGAAAAATATCAATGATATAATTATAATGGTTACATAAATATATTTAATTTGCATAGTATTTTCACCAAAATAAAAACAAAATATTACTTAGTATCTTTTTTTACATATTTCGGTAGCAAAACAAGTGCATAATAGTGCATAGTAGTTGGAATTGTGTTTTCTAGTTTAAACAAAGGGACTCACATTGCACCAAGATGCAGACGACAAATACAAGATGGCGGACCATTGTTTACAGCTGTTTCGACCAGGGACGTCTGCTCATTCCCGCGCCACGTGTTTTGGCGGGAGTTTCTTGCCACTTCTGCAACAAAACAAGATTTATGTTCTAAGATGTTCGTGTTACCAATTTAAATTAGAATGCATGTATCTTACTCGGCTCCGCTGTCAGGACAATTGTCGCACAGCGCTGCTGTTAATTTGTAGCTTCTCTAATTGGAACTTAATTCCTTCCTGAAATTGAATAAAATTACAGTAGAAGTTTTAGTTTAATATATAAAGTAAAATTGTTTATCAACTATACTTGTGGTTATTTATAGGTTAATCTATTAAATGCAATAAATAATTAATTGACATTCATGTAAATACATTTTTTGTGTTCCTCTAAGCTCATTCCTGTTCTCTTATGTTATTTTAGTCTCATTGATTAGAATCTATTGTATTGCAATTTTTCTCCTATTTATTTATAGCGAATCATTATTTGATGTTATCTTTACTTTGTTTTGCTATTTAAATATTGTTGTCTCCAGCTTTTTTCACTACTTATTTATGTACTGTATCATTGTTATTATATTGTTATTATTATTATAAGAAAATTAGCCATATACACTAATTAATACTTAAACCTAAACATTATCTGGTCTAAATTTGAGGTAGTATATCAAATGTTAAATTATTACTTTTTAATTTTCTTTTTTACTTATTTATAAATTATATGTATTTTTGGATTTTGCTAAACCATCTGATACTGAGTGTTAAACATTTTATTTTTACTTTCTCCCCCTATACCATAGTATATGGAGAAAGTATTGTTTTCGTCAAAATTTTCAAGTTTGAGTTTTGAGTGGATATATTCGTTTTGGGTCCCCCTGGACCCAAAAAAGTGGTTTTCGAAGTGATGTCTGTGTGTGTGTGTGTGTGTGTGTGTGTGTGTGTGTGTGTGTGTGTGTGTGTGTGTGTGTGTGTGTGTGTGTGTGTGTCTGTGTGTCTGGATGTGTACAGAGCTAGAGACCACACCTGTGGTCCGATTTCGATGAAATTTGGTATGTAAGTTCTAATCCATGGTATCTCCAGGCGTTTTTTTAATTTTTTTGAAATTTTGATTTTTAATGGGGATTTTCCCATAAAAACCCATAAAAACCGGAAAAATCGGATTTTCTCAAAAATGGCCCGAACGATTTTGATAAAAATTTAGTATGTTGTAGCCCTTTAAATTCTGAATAAAATGGTACAAATCCCATATCTGTAAAAATTATGGTTCAAAAGTTATGGTCAAATATGTTATTTTCCCATAAAAATCCCATAAAATAACGAAAATAGGATTTTAGAAAAAACCCGGTCTTGATTTAACATAATATGTTATAGTCCTTACAGTTTTGATAGTTTTTTTTTAATTTTTTAGAAATTTTTAATTTTTATGGGGATGTTCCCATAAAACCCCATAAAATAACGGAAAATATGATTTTCCCAAAAATGGCCTGAACGATTTTGATCACAATTTATTATGTTATAGTCCTTTATATCCTGAACAAAATGGTACAAATCCCATTTCTGTAAAAATTACGGTTCGAAAGTTATTGTAAATTATGTCATTTTCCCTTAAAACCCCCATAAAATAACAGAAAAATCGGATTTTTCCAAAAATGGCTCGAATGATTCGTTGATTTTGATAAAAATGTTTCATGTTATAGTCCTTTAAATTCTGAACTTAATTGTACAAATCTCATTTGCGTATATTTACTCTCACCACTTACACATGATAAAGGTTGTTGACAAACTTATGGGAGAAAGTATGTGTCAGAATGCTGATACCGTTTATTTTGTTTTGTTCCCAAAGAGGGCTTATTGCAAGAATATACTTTTTTTGTAATATAGTGTGTACATTGTGAATTTTTTATAATTATGTACTGTATTAGTTATTTGTTACGAAGAAATTCTGTATTTTCTTTTAAAAATTGTGTATCTGTAAGTAAGTAAATAAATAAAGCACCTACGGGATAAGTAGGTACAGTAACCGTTTATCGTAATTGCTCACAATATTATTCATAACATATTTGTTTTCATAAAATGTATAATTAATATCTTGTTGTAAATTACCCTGTGATTCCTATTTAGTCTTGGTCATGGATACCTTTAATTATAAATTACTTGGAATTCACTCTTTTATTATTGCACAAATCCTTGAACTGAATTTTGTGATCGTATAGAAAAAGTGTAAAATAACATTTTCTTTATAGTTTCTAAGCTTTTGTTTGCTTGGCTTACGGTTTTTTCCTGAAAGTTCCCCATTTGTATATTAATATTATTTTGTTTTGATCTAAGTTTCTTTCCACCTGCAGGCTGTCAGATTTAAAACTCCAGAACTTCATGAAACATCTGAATAAACAATCAATGTTGAAACTTGGATGGTAATGGATTGTTTGCATTGTTCATAGCATGTAAACTAGCGATGTTCAACATTTGATGTCTGGGAATCAACGTCTTATAAACCTCAGTCTTATATCTTTCACCAACAACAATCACCACTTCGTTCACTGTCGCTGTCGCTGTAATGGTCTCTGAAGGACACGGTGAGTCATTTTGAGTGCGAGTATGTAGGTTTAGTGACGTCATCAAGTATTGTTCACGACTGGCCAGGGTCGTAGCGAAGACCGCCCATCCTGTCCTTGTCTTCCCACACACTTCACACCGTCACAGCCGCTAATCTTCATGTGAAGCGCAGGCTTAGAGTGCTGGAGTGATGGAGACTTATAACGATTATTTTGAAGGTTAAATACGACGATTTGAGGACTTAGCTTCGAATGTAACAACAGAAACCTTATGGATCATGAACATAAACAAATGACGATTTGAGGACTTAGCTTCGAATGTAACAACAGAAACCTTATGGATCATGAACATAAACAAATGACGATTTGAGGACTTAGCTTCGAATGTAACAACAGAAACCTTATGTATCATGAACATAAACAAATGACGATTTGAGGACTTAGCTTCGAATGTAACAACAGAAACCTTATGGATCATGAACATAAACAAATGACGATTTGAGGACTTAGCTTCGAGTGTAACAACAGAAAAGCTATGGATCAAGAACATAAACAAATGACGATTTGAGGACGACGATTTGAGGACTTAGCTTCGAGTGTAACAACAGAAAAGCTATGGATCAAGAACATAAACAAATGACGATTTGAGGACTTAGCTTCGAATGTAACAACAGAAACCTTATGGATCATGAACATAAACAAATGACGATTTGAGGACTTAGCTTCGAGTGTAACGACAGAAACCTTATGGATCATGAACATAAACAAATGACGATTTGAGGACTTAGCTTCGAGTGTAACGACAGAAACCTTATGGATCATGAACATAAACAAATGACGATTTGAGGACTTAGCTTCGAGTGTAACGACAGAAACCTTATGGATCATGAACATAAACAAATGACGATTTGAGGACTTAGCTTCGAATGTAACAACAGAAACCTTATGGATCATGAACATAAACAAATGACGATTTGAGGACTTAGCTTCGAATGTAACAACAGAAACCTTATGGATCATGAACATAAACAAATGACGTTACAGACCCGATTCACTAATTGATAACCTAAACATCTGGTTATGAAGTTTTTTGACAGTTCTATTTAAAAAGACAAATAATTTTACTAAGTAATTTGTTTTTCTAAAATTGGTTCTAAACTGTTTTTGAAATTAACAAAAACTGTTGTTGAATATATTTATGATCTTTAGCTGACTTTAAAAAAATTAATACACAAAAGATTTCATTTACCGTGATTGTTAAATATATCATATTAGGTACCAAACACTACCTCTATTTTGTACAACAAGTCTCTAACCAATGATTAATCTCTTTGATCGTTTTATTGATACAGTTTAGTGTATCTAAGTGAAAACTACAAAATCCCCAAAAAATGTATAAGGAAAGATATCCACTGCGCAGCTAAGTGTGGTTCCTCCTGGTATCGAGCGAAAGTACCCAATATACCTGTAATAATCTATGCCTGCCTTCTTTCTTATTTAATTGAACTAACATATGTTTTATTAAGTATTATGATTTTGTAAATAATGTCCAATTTAAATACACATCTTTTTAGTCAAGTCTATTAATTTTTGTCTTTTAAAAAGTCTTGTCTGCGTTTAAAATTTTTAACAATACCCAATTAAAATTGGACGGATTGACCTGGAACTTTACAGGACGGTCAATAACTAAGAAAACAAGGTTCGATTCGAAACAGAAATCAGAAACTTTTGATGGTTCGAAATTGTACCCAATATTATTAATTACACTTTCAGTAAATGGTCCTGCCCAAAAAACAGCTGATTTCATTCAGTAACAAAGACAACAAAGACATATCACTTTCATCAATATCAACTAATGTTCACTTATATTCAACTAATATTCAATTTCGCTCACTTTTATTCAGGTTAAATACGGCCAAGGCTGCATCATCCCCATCAATAGCAAACGTAGGAATATTTTTTAATAGAATGACTAATGATTATACAATTTTAAATAAAGCTACACTATCTACGGAGGTATTAGGGGGAGTTTTCAGCCACAGCTGTCAGGTGCATACAACAATCTCTAGCGGTGAGTCGACCCCTACCAACCCTTTAAACTCAGGTCCATTTAACCATTTAACCCATGAGAATATTGAAAACAGAGTTTTGCCGTTTTAAAAATGCCAATCAATGTACCGTTATAAAAATGTTCCCTAGAATTTTGTATACATGCTAAGGAAAAAAGTGTACAGGGTGTTTATAAAAAAACTTTACAACTTTAAACAATCATAAAACCTTTATTTTTTCACTTACAGCTATGAAACAAAAATTAAAATTTAGGAAATTTTCTCAAGTTTTATTTACATGATAAGAAGTTTACCTAACTTCAATGTGTTTCCCGTTGTTTGCTCGCAAAAAATCAAGTCGACATTCCAGTTCTGACCAAACACGACGCAAAATTGAATGATCTATTTCATCAAACGCTCTCCTGATCTTGTGGGTCTTGAAGGAGGATTCCTATTATATCTTGTCCGAAATCTCCGTTGAACAACAA